GTGGCCGCTTGGTTGTCATTGACCTGGAGGATGTGAAATGGTTGAAGCGCCCCAGGGCCCTTGAATCCGTCTCTGCGAATACGCGGCAAACTCGCCGCGTCAGAGCGATGAAATTTAAGCCCGGCTTGGAAAGGGTGGAAATTCCGCAACACGGCAGTACCTTGAGCTTGTAACAATGTGTTCGGAAACGCTGCAAAGCATTCCGACACAAGACGTCGTGGCTTTAACTTACACCGAGTACTAATACACATTTTGCAACACGAACCCTAAATGTTGCAAAGGTGCGGCTGCACAGCAGGCTTGGGCGGCGGAATTATCTACACGACCTTCCCAGGCTTTGCAGCTAGAGATACATCCCATCAACCATCCCCCGTTGACCGAACTCCTTCGGAATCTTTTATTCAATTTCACAGCTAGCTCAAGTGCTTGGAGCTCACTTGGTTGGCATCCGCCTCAACAAGAGCAGGTGCGACTGCCACGATGTTTTTGATCTGGCTCAAGTTAATCAACAAGTGAGAGGTGAGCAGCAGCGCTCTGGTACCCACCTCACGTCCTTTTAGAGCCAAGGACTACAATCGTCGAAGGTTGTTCCTTACAACAACTGGTCCTTGCGTCGTACGTGCGTTGGACAGAAACGTTGACCAGGGATCACTGCGAACTCGTTAAATTCTCATATTTAAAGGTCAAATAGGCCCGGGCGAGAATTGCATCTTCAGACTAGATACCCCGATTCAACGTCAAGGAAATGCCTCCTACTATTCCAGCTTCTGGAGGAAGATGGTCACAAGGGGACTTTGAGTATTGTGGTAAGATGCAGCTGCTCCATGAACGTAGCAATCTCATCCAGGCGAAGCATGGCATCAAAATGTTTGTCGATCTTGAATACTGCTTCAAGCCGTTGCTCTAGCGCATTCGAGTCTTCGTGATCGACTCCATCAATTACGTTGTCGAACGGTATCGTCGGTATCAGACCCAGGGTGGTTTTCGCCAATGACAAAAGCAAGGTCTTAGTTTCTGGAGGGAACTAAAGCAGTTGAGTTATTCGAGTGTTCAGTGAGCCAGCGGTGTTGCTGATGTGGGATTGCGCAGTCCTGGCTATTTATATTCTCCGCATACTGGTCGAGGTCTGCGAGGAAACGAAGGATGACATATTACTCAATCTAAAGATATTTTAGACTCCAGCGGGACCGCGTAGGCGATCATTGACAATGTTGGCAGGTACGTTGGCCAAGGTCCCGCATACAAAAAGTGCCAGCCGACAGAATACTTCCCTAGTTTGCGAACTATTCAAGGCGGAAAATCTACTCGGCAGTTCTCCAGCTTTGGATCACATGTCGCCCAAGCGATAGCATCTGCATACAGCATGCAGGATCTGTGTCCGAAGGAGGCGGAGTGAGAGCATGCTCGGGCTGTTAAAGCTCAGCCATGGTCCTTGCGAACACGTACTGAAGCCGACATTGGGCTCAATAACGTTTCCGCTACCCATTACAGGATACACTTCTTTTCACGGACCTCGACGTCAAATTCGAGAGTCAAACTCGAGAGTGGCCAATTCGTCGCCTTTGTCAATCCATCCGGCTGCGGAAAGACAACCATGATATCTTACTAGAGAGATTCTACAACCCTTACCAGCCGATAGTCCTTATCAACGAAACCACGACTCTTCGAAAGAATCATCCGCAACAATATATCCCTCGGACTCGGCAATTCTGAGTGCACCGAGATCAATCTGATTCAAGCGTGCGAGGCCGCAGATATTCACGATCCTATTACCTGCTTCCGGATAGATAGTCGACCTATCGGGCATCAAGGCTCAATCATTCCTGGGTGAAAGACGACGACAACGTCCTGGTTTTATGCAGGCATTAGTACGCAGACCATTCCTCTACTCGATGAAGCGACATCGAATCTGCACCCTAGTCCCAAAAAAAGGTACAGGCAGTACTCAGGCGCTTGGCAGCGAAGGGATGTATGACGATCGTGGCAGTTACGCATATACTGGCTACTATACCGAAAGCGGACACGGCATTTGTCTTTGGTGTAAGCCAGAGCAGATATGGGTTCAGGTTGTAAAGCTGAGAAGTCATCAGGAACTGCTACGGGATAACGAGATGTGTTGGCAGACGGTTAGTATGGACTTGATTTTCTGTCATTGTGATTTACTGATTAATATCCAGTGTCAGGAAAATGCGCTCGATCGATTATTGTACACTACGTGATTTCATTCCGTATAGGTGGCACTGTGTTTGAAGAATCTGTCTATTGGAAGTTGCTTCATCATACATACAATATCATGGATTGATAGCCTCTCATTATACTCCGGAGGAGCCTCAGAGGCATACAATACGTCTCAATTGTCCATCTGCAACCTAAAGCCAATCTCTTCCACTTCTTATGATTACCTAGTCAGCTGCACACAATTATCTGGAAACACCACGAAAGCCAGTGTTACTTGCTCGTTTTCTGCTATTAGTAAAGTCTAATCTTCTCACTTTCCTGCGCCATTAGGGCTGTAAGCAAGAATTCCCCATATACCTATATAGGTCGCCAGCACAGAAACGGAAAAGACGAGGCGAAAAGGGCCCCATAGTAACCCATACCAATCGCACAAGGTAACATCCATTTTATTCCTGCTTGATCACCCCGACTATGAGATAGACCGGGTCTGTTGCAAAGGTTCCATTATCATTGGCAGAACCAATAAAAAAGAGACCCTTCACTGGCGCTCGTGTTCTAATCGCGGAGGCACGGACCCTGAGGTTGAGGTGCTCCTAGTGATCTCTCCTCTTTGCCTTAGACGCTAATCAATGAATGACCGCCGGTTACTCCGGGCTTGGGTTTACTGGGGCATTGTTGCCATTGTTTCTCGTTCTGGCTTTCGTCTTCCTGCTTTAGAGATAGTTGCTGCCCTTCCTGGTGGTGAATCTGTTCCGAAACGCGATTTGTTTGCGTCAATTGCAATCCGCCATTGCGCGGTGTTGGCTGAACGGCTTGGTTCTGGCTCTCCTGGTTATGACCTTGGCGGGACGCTGGGACGTGTTTGGATTGTGACGAATTTGACACCCTACGGTGCGACACTCGCTGACTGAATTGATTCTGTTCTCCTTGATGTTGAGCCTGACTCGCCAGCGGCACGTGCACCACATGGTCTGTTTGCGCCACGTCTGACACCGTATCATGCTGCGCCGACTGAATAGCTGGAATATGCTGTTGGCATTCCGTTTGGCTCTGTCCAGAGTGGTTGGAGTTGGCGCCCGGCATTCCGCCCGACGACATCTGGGCCACAACCTGGGATTGCCATTGCTCCAGACTATTTACGCGTTGCAGTAGAACTTGTTGCTGCTGGCACATAAGACCAATCATTTGTCGCATTTCCGGTTGGTATAATGCTTCCTGCTGTCTTATAGTCGCCGGGGAAAGCTGCTGTTGGGCGATTGCATTTTGAACAGCTATAGCTTGTCGTGGTGCCAAGGCTTGTTGTGATGTGCAAGGCCGCTGCGGCCCTAATGCTTGTTGTTGTTGGAGCGGGAAAGGGTAGCCCCCGTGCGGCCGGAACTGCACGGGTAAAAACTGCGCTGGATGCGCGAGATTGAATATTCTTTGACAACTGGGACAAACAGCCAGCTGGTCTCCAGGGCCTCGAGGTAAAAGAGGAGATTGCTGACAACCGGGGCAGATGTATGCCCGAGGAGTGGTAGGCACTTGGAGATTGGCATACATTTTCGCGAGAAGGTAAATTTCAAGTTGTATGAAGAATGATTGCTTGAGAGCCGATCTGGAATGATGATGAAGTGATAAGGATAGTTGGGAAAACCGCTTTTATTTATGAATGGTCGTGATCGTCGACTATACTGGCATGCAATTGCATGGTGAATATATGCTTCCTTCAATCATTGAATTTGCTGAGCGGACGGTCCGATCAACCTATGATGAACTACTTAGTGGGGTCAATAGAGAGGTTAAATTGACGGTGCAAAGACCGGAGGATACGATGATGTTCCGAATCGCTGGCTTGCTGCTGGAGCTGACCCACCCGGATGGCATTGAAAGTCTGTTCAACACATCTGTTCAACACATCTGTTCAACACATCTGTTCAACACATCTGCTCATACAGCGGTTTGAATATCTACCTGCGTTATTAAAAATTTCGGTTGGGCTGGAGCGGCCATTTTTAGCGTTATTTGTGGCCGAAAATGGCAGCTCCAGCCCTTTAGCTGACTCCATCGCCGTGCAGATAACATGACCCATGGTCGCTCTGCCTAATGCTGTAGTGCCATCCGGATGATGCTTGTTACGGACCCCTGCTAGTTAACCTGACAGGTGAAGCGGACACGCCAGGCAGAATGCGCCGATAACGACGACGCAGAGACTAATAACAACTCTGGAATGGCTGTCGGAACATACTGCCCTCCGGTACCGCCCTGCTCCCATTGGTCGACTTTTCTTAGTAATTAGTTAGTAAGCTGGTTAGTTCGATAAGGCGAGCGTACGGGCTACCCAATAGGCAAGAATACTCACTTCCCACAACGGCCATGCATCATGTGACACGGATATACCGTCATATACGCCAAGATATACGGTTCGGTATAAGGTATATGGCACGGGTATACAGGGAAGGATACGGGAACGTATACGAAGGATAGGGTATTTTAGGACACTCATTCGTGTACTTAGCTAGTTTTGTTTATTCGTGCTCAAAAGCACCTGTCCTTACGTAACCATACATTTGGGAGTTTACGTAGCGATAGAACACTCGTCCGCACGTACTTACGAATAGTTGCGCGGCATTATTTGGCTCTACTTCTCTTCTCTTGTCCAGGGCCAATTGTATCTTAGATAGTCCTCAGCCTGAAGACCCCTGAACCCAGTTCGACGGTACATATTCTAGTATAGCTAGGCTAACAGGGACATGGAAGCGATCCTAGGGTTTGACACTTAGCAACAGAACACCTGTCCGCACTTACTCTAGAATAGTTGCGAGGCACTATACATGGGCATGTGAAGCATGGAGTGGCAAACAAGGAAGTCCACACTAAAATCGAAGGATACAGGTGTTTCATTTCCGGCTGGTGATTGAGGGTAAGGCAATAGAGGGCGTTCGCGGGTGAGCATAAAACTGTAGCGGGTCCCTACTATTCAGTCTGTGCGTACTCTCCAAATCGTTGCTTACTTCCTGGTATAGAAGGGTAAACTGAAGGTTATTGCGTCAAGGTAGAAGCCATAAGAAGACTTAGCGATCTGGTTTCCGCGGGCGCTAGCTCCAATGCCCGGTCTCGACGATCATGCTAGGACAAGTGAAGTTGGATTTTTAGAGTCCGTAAAGAGCAAATTTTCAAAGACTAAATGCTATTGCATAGGATGGGAGGTTTCGGGGGCAGAGGCGGTATCCGTGGGATTCCTTAAACCGCTGGAAGAAGCTATGTAAGAGCTACGATAACACTAACTGAGACCGGTGTTTTTAGCGCTTCCCGGCTATGGGTTCAATTGCAGTTACCGTTGAACATGCCGCACGGGTTGAGCGCGTGCAGTTGGACGTGTGTTGAAAGCAATTCGTACCGCTGTTGCAAAGGGGCTGATACAAGCACCGGCTCAGAATCCACGCTTGGGCCGAGTAAGCACTAGTCAAGACCGGTCATCTTTGGCGCGACTTTAGAGTTCGAGTATCCAGGCTAACATGATGGCCCTTTCTAAGTGGAGAATCGTCAACTGCGAGTGTGACCCAGATGAATGTCGCTTAGAATGATCCCTGTTCAACTTTTTGGTTCATGATCAAATATCCCACTATGGTTTAGTTGCCTTCTGTTGATGCATTTTCTCGGACTGTCAGAGGTACTCCATTTTCGAAAAATCTACTAAGCACACTGATACTACCCAAGGATTTAGTGGCGATACCTAGAGTTGGTAACATAGAGTCTAATGGGGTCAGAACTACGTAAAACAGCTTTCCAGAGAAGAAAGTAGCCATGACGCGTCGGAAAAGTACTTCTGAATAGCCGAGGATGCCAGAGCTAACAAATTTCATTGGACGTAAATTTACCCGCGCCCTTGGCTGAATTACCGCTAACATTATTGCCATCACAGGCGAGTCCCTTCCTATTGATACCTATTGATACCTTGACGAGAGTCCTTCGAAGTATTATGAGTCCTTGAAATCAGATTTGGACAAATGCTAAGCAATGGACAACTCTCCTCTCTCATTGGGTTTCCTCGTCGAGCATTGCAGCCGCTTTATTGCGCGCTAAATCGTCAGCCGTCTGAAAGGGCATACCGTGGGGGTTTCTACCGAGCTGCGATGTCTTAGATCTCAGAGACGAATACGACGGACTTGCGGCTCGCCTGCTTGGTACAAGACTACGAATTCAAATAACTTACTTTCCTCGGCCTCCCCTCGCTGTATACATAGATGCATGGGGTGAATGAGGCCTCTCTCGAAACCTCTACATCAAGCCATTCCTAAATACTTCCTTTGCCGCATTTCCAGATGGTGCTGCATTCCGGGCTAAATTGCCATCGATCGACGTGGGCGTTTCCCAGTGCATGAGTCCCTCTGACATCACAAATGATCAAGAGCTGGATTGTGAGAGATGCAGAGCACATGTTCTCCCTGTGGGCGGTGGTACATCTTCTGTAGATACACCGACCGACGTGAGCGCACCCCGAGGTGTCAGTCAAGAATCTTCCCCCGGGACCGTTCAGAATTCGGGTAGAACCGCAAACGACCGAGGCCCATGCCAGAATCTGCCTTGACCATGACTCTTGACGAGCACTTACACGCTTCTGGCACAATGCGAATTCCCGAAGAGCAGACACTTGAATCATGAAAAAACTCTGCAAGTCCTGGACGCGCAGAAACTCGTCGTCAGGTCACCGTTGAGTGCCACAAGGGTCGGCGAGGTTACACTCGGCCCCTGGTCTGCCCATGCCTAGAACAATGGCCTCGATGTTACCTTCAACTCCGGGCTTGTGTTGGATGGACCGTTTCGCACAGGGGTGGTGCATGGTGTCACCTTGATTATAAGTCAACAAGACAGCCAGCCTTTACTGTATAAACCATTATGTGCGTCCTAGGTTGGGGCCTCTCGCCTTCGCGGTATTCAAACATCTCACAGAAATCCCATTCCTCCTATCATCACTTGTACCCTCCGACAACAATGAAGACTCACCTGCCACGACTGAACGAACTCCGGAAAGTACTGGCATCGGCTGAGAAGAAATCGCATTCCGGTACCCGTTCGAATGCCTCACACGACACTGAATCAGCTCCGCCAGACGACAGGAAGCCGAAGTTCCAGGCCGTCTCGGGTGAGGGCATTTTGACCCATGAAAACGGCGCAAGCGACAGAGATGCAATGTCGGAGGTCGACAGCGTGGTCACAAACGAGCTTCCTGAGCATCCCAATGACGTGGCTGATACGTCTACAAAGGCTCTCACGGTGTTGATCTGCGAGTATGTCCCGTCCTATGATGTCCCAAACCCGGCCGTCATTCACCCTTGAACTGTGCTGATCTGTTTCTTCAAGTCTCGAAACCAGAGTCCGGTAAGCTTATCTCCTTTGCGCTATCAAGCGACATTCTACGGAACCTCGAACTGACCGAGATCTATAGAAAGCTGGAGGAACAGGTGAAGGATCAAAACCAGGAAAATCACCGCCTGCACAGGAGAGTGAGCGGCATTTTTGAGAGTGTCCCGACCTCTCACACCAAATCCCGTCGTTCAGCTCGGTACAAGGACATGGAGTCGGAATGAACGTCGCCGGGCGAAGGACAACGGAACGAACGTTTCTCAAGCCAGGCCGGGATGGTACCAATGGGACAAGGTCTGAGTTACGTCGCCTAGAATTACTGTCTTTCACCAAGCTTGTCCGGCCGGATCTAAGATCTGCTCGAATCTAGAGTATATAACTATCTTCAATTGAGAGTGAATGTTTGTGCTGGCCGTAGTAGAGCGAGGGCAACCTGGTCTGTCGATCCCAAGATAAAGAAATTAATTTGTCTAAACAAACTAGCTACATCTGATCGCCGGTGACGCTCGTGGTTGAACGAATCAGCCGCACAGTTGATTAATGTGACCCGCGGTTCGGTGAAGTGGATCTCCAACATGTCCGCGAAACAAAGACGCGAGGATGTGTCACCAACGTGTGTCGTACCGCTCCCCCTGCTGGTGCTATCCCTAGCATTTGAGCCCATCGAAGCTCTACCGTGCGTTCAATCATTTAGAAGATGATCGGCGCATCCTGGTGTGACGTGGGAGGCAGATCACGTCTGGTGCCGCCTCGCGACGCCCACGTTCGATGGCAACGTCACCATGGCGACGACGTCGTAGGCGTTCTATATTTTCAAGCCATTTTTCGTTTTTCTTTTTTCCCGTTTGGGCCAAAGAGTGCATTGCGAGTGTTCCCTTTATCTTCCCCGATACCACTAAGCCTGCAGTGGCTAACGATGTGGACTCCTGACTCCTCGGACTAGCTGACTCAGCAAGCCATCGGTTTGGCGCTAACTAATTAATTATTTAGCCCTGGCGGGGGCAAGCAGCCAAACAGACGTATGGCCAATTGGCCGTGACGCCAAGTAACGTGACCACGCGTTTGCACACATTCCGCTTTCCGTATATCTCCCAACTAGTTGCACATGTTCATCATTATATATTTTGTTACAAAAGAGAAGCCTTCCAGTTGCCTACTAAGCGTCTAACATATATATTAATGGACAGAAAGAGAACATTTCTTCCAATGCATAGCGGATGTACCCAGCGGATCCAGCATGTAAATCAAGTTACGCCGTGCCCGTTGGTGCCGGCACACGATACTGCAGGCTTTACACCATGTCCGGTGGCCGACATACTGGCTCGGGGCGGTTGACAGACGCCTCGGGTACACAGTCCACAGGCCGGTTTGTACTCCGACCGCGAGCGTGCGTGGCCTCCTGCGGTGGCACGTCCGGGTGATAGTGATAGCGCAGTCGATCCAGAGCGCCCCGGAAGTCGTCCAACATGATGGTGTCGCTCAGGTACTTGAAAACGAACGCCAACTACAGCAGGGTCAGTGCTGATCTTCCTCTCGTCAGTGGCGGCCGTTTACCTTCCAGAACGGCTCCATCCCCGGGGGTAGCCTAGGCGATTCTCGACCCGGATCGCACACATGTCCACCACCGCAACACGATGGAAAACCATGAACAGGAGCATGACGCCGAAACGTGGGCTAATGCGGATCAGCTGCACCAGCGAACACCCATACCCACGCTGGATGACGTACAGGAGAAAGCAGGTGGTAAAGATCCACCAAGGGTCCCTAGATTCGCATCAGCAATGCGAAGCGTGAGGAGGACCGCACTCGGACACCGCACCGGAAGAGCGGCTCGAGTGGCCGAGTGGTGGTATATAATGCCTGGCCCCGGTTGAAAAAGGCAAAGTTGGCATAGATCTCGACGACCCAGTACGGCTGGGCCGCCAGCAGGGTGATCAGATACAGTAGCGTGCCCCAAGGGGTGAAGAAGCCGCGAATCTTCATCCATGCAATCATGTTATGGAGGGAATGCGAAATTATGAGACCAACGGCCGTAACCGAAAGATACCAGCCCTGGGCAGGCGCATGGAGAAAGATGAACGTTCCATGCCCGAGGGCTAGGGCGGGCTAAGCGTCCATATCAGCAGGTATTAGTGCCCCATTCGCCCTAATCACACAGTGCAACCTACCTCTGCCACGATGATGGCGATCATGACGATAAGCGAGCCCATCAGGAATCCTTGTCCCCACGCCTCCACGACAAGGATGTCCGGGTCTCTAGGAAGATGGCCAGCAGTCGGCGTCATGACCCCGCTCCCATCTCGCTCTATCAACGGAGAGTTGAAGGAGGTCCCTGCATTGAAGACGAGACGGCGTTTAAATCATCGGGTGTGATTAAGCAAAGCGTTCGCCGCCCGGCATCGTCAACTGCCGTGGGCGATGGACAGTAGGAGGGAAGCCGGCGACTGTGACTGTAACCAGCGACCCATCGACATAATAGTAACCGGGGCTTTTCACTAGTCCAACGCTATCTCGAAGACTAAGACACCCATCGGAGTTCCAGCTGCGCCCTGCATGCGGGCTTCTTTTTGCCGCTCCAGACGGGGGGTTCGGTTGCTGTAATCCGTAGAGCATCATCCGGCACTACCGTAGATGGAACAGGCCCACACCACTTGATCCTCCAATGTCTCTTCCTTACCTACTAAATGTCGGCCTGAAAGGACCGCAGCGGAAAGGAGGAATACACCTTTCGTCTATTGACTTTTAGCGGGATACGAGATAAAGAACGGGAGGAAACGGCACAACGACCACTATTCTGGTTCCCTTTACGTCAATGGTACTCAACATATTTTTATTAATTATGGCGACGAGGACTCTTTCTATTCAAGTGACATCATCAGCTCAACGGTCATTTAGCGAACGGGGTTAGCCGAAGAAGTGCATCCCAACATCCGCAGGGTTCATATTAACGGTCCGTAATTCGCAAAATTGCCATGACTGTGACAAGTCTCAAAATCTAGAACATGGGGGTGCTACCCTTTCACAGGCTTCAACTGAATATATATCGGGTGAAAGTACACACTCCCGCGACAGCTTATCTGTAGCTCGACTATTCCCAGTTTTCCTTCCCCATTGTCTTCTCGGTTATAGTCAGCTCTGCTACTCCAACTCACACCCTGTATCTACTGCTGCAGAAGAACACTCTAACGGGCGTTGAGCCTCCGGCTGAGACAAAAATTCATCCCCTCACACAACAATGATTTCAGGGAACTGACAGCTGCAGCCTCGAGGGCACCGCTCAGAAAAAACAAGAAATTACCCCCATTGGCGTGTGACCAAAACACAATTTTACCAAGCCCTTGATGAGGCGCAATATGAATCTCAGAGGCTCGAACAGGGATTGTGGCCAGACTCGTGCAGGGTCGATGTGGGTTCTGCCGCAGACACTTCAAGAACTCTGCAACCTACGACGGCTTTGTCAACTGCAACTCAACGCCCTGGCCCGAGCTAGGCGAGTGGTCGCCACTGAGCGGAATAGACCTCCCACAGAGCCGATGGGAAACCTGGAGACACACGAATGTGACCGGTGTGGAACAAAGGCACCAGTGTTCCTTGCTTTGTGTTTTCACCGCTTATGTCGGGGTTGCGCTGGAGCTGGAGTGCCAGGCACTTGGGTTGATATGTTCCGAAACTGCCAAGTCTGCTTTCTTGAAAGCTTCCATCAGCCCCGAAGAACATGAATGTATTGGCTATTGATGTTCAGGCAGCTGCGTTGATCGATCGTGACTTTGTCTTTCGGAAAGCAATGTTTACGAGCCTGAAGATGACTAAGAAGCGACATAAATATAATAGTATGAATGACGTGAATTAAGGTACTATGACAGCCAGTAGGAAAACATAGTGTTGTATGGGCTGCGTACGTACGGGATCATAAGGCTAATATAATGTGTAAAGCTAGTGATCCTGCTACGATACGTCAGAATAATGAGGGAATCTAATTTTGGCCAACACTGTCGCTCAATGTCGTCGGGCCTGCTCCTGTAGGGGAGAAAGACGTCAGTGGCATTGGCACTGGGCTAGTCGGCCTTTTGGGCTGCTTAATGGTTCAAGTTCGCATCTTTTACGGACAGGATGACTCTCCAGCCTACAGCGGGGCCGCCGCCCGACTCGTATGTAGTCCTATCTCTCCTAGTGCCTTAGAGTCCCATGCTACAGTAGCAGCAGTATAAGGGACGGCATCGGCTTTGTGCTTTCAACAATGGTTCTCGGCGACCTCCATCGCGGCATGTCCGCATGGTAGGTGTGTTGCTAAATTTGATCAAGTATCCACCCAGTCCGCAGCCAACCGGTTCTGCCGGTGGTTTCCTCGTGTCAGCTGCCGCTGCCCATCCCCCACTTGTTGGTTCCGTCAGCCACCAGTCCTCCGTGGAGAGTTGTTCAGCAATGAAAGGCTCTGTCTATATGTAATGGGCGCCCCGATATCCCTCTGCTGAGCAAGTAGGATTGCCACCGGTGTGGGCCCGCCAGGGCACCCACGGGTTTCTACCGGTTGGCGAGGGAGATCACCCGGGTACGTTACATACATGTCGGATGTACCCTGTGAAGCTTCCGCTCTTTTTGCAGAATTCGGTGCTTCTAGATCCGTTCGTATCCACCCGGTCTCGCAAACAACCGGTCCTGACGGTTACCTTTGGCGCCAGATGCTGCTGGTCGTCGCCGGCCGTCCAGCAGGTCTCGCCATCTATATGGCTCGCTCCCACGGAATCGAGCATACCTGCTCACGCAACTTCGCACAGGCCACTCATGGCTGGCGACATATAGAAAACAACATGGCTTCCAAGAAGATAACCTGTGCGAATGCGGGGCGACAGAAACAGTGGTACACGTGTTGATCGACTGCCCGCGGCTTAGCACACTGCGCCAAACACTACGGCGGAAAATTGGAGGAGTATTCAATAATATATCAGATATGCTGGGAGGAGCAGGCCACGGTAGGGGAGGTAGGTTACAAGATGTCCCGCCAGACAGCAGCGTTCTCGGGGCGGTACTGGACTTTGCGGAGGCATCGCAGAGATTTCGAAGTCGCGCGCCACGAGGGCGGCAGAACACAACGCCAGGCACCGGCCCACACAGGCCTTGACGAGGCTCAAAGTTCGTCAGGAAAGTAATAGTTCACGTTCAAAGATGTACATAGAGAGTATAGATAGTGGATCCTGCATGTCGCCCTAGGCGAGGGGTCAGCGTATGAATCATCATCATCATCATCATCAGCCTGTACTATATTGCTCCTACGATATTGACAGCTGAGAGGACACATACTGAAAGGATCTATGTATGGGCTCGAAGGAGATACAGCAGATGTACATTAGAATCTGTGTTGATAGATTAGTGATAGTTGCCCTTTCGGCTGAGCCGCCGGGCGTTGATTAATTGTGTGTGTGTGTGTGTGTGTGTGTGTGTGTGTGTGTGTGTGTGTGTGTGTGTGTGTAATATATTGCCAAAGGTAGTACAGCAATGGCACCACACCTATTATTATCAAGGTCCAGCTTATTTGCTCTATAACGAGTTGCGGCATGTCTATCTCGAAAACTGCTATAGCTGTCGAATGCAGTAAGCAGGTAGTCAAATATATCCGCTCCAACCTGCAAGTCTTCAGCTCTCCTAGAGCGCCGCCAACTCGAATTGAGCAAGCAAGATCAATAACACTGACTATACTGGAAGCACTATACAAATATCTTCTCAAAAAGCCTGGCTTGTACCTAGACAAGATAGCAATATTCCTCCAGAACAAGTCATTCAAGTCCCGAAGATCCTTGCACCTTCACACATGAAGGTTGTTCCTACATCGTGATGGAAAGGATCAATATAAAGACATAATCAGCATTGGCTGGGTCAATCAAAGCGAAGAATCCAAGACCAAGCTTCTTACACAATTGAAGATCATGATCCAGAAAATGCAGGAACTTCGGCTTCCAGAAGATATAGAGGTCTCCTCTGTTAGTAGAGGACCTCTGTTCGATTGCCGTTCACCAGACGATTCCCTACATTTATGGCCTTTTTCCAGTGTCCAAAGCTTCCATCAACCACTTACCAGTTGGCATGGTATTTGACCCGAGACGACTGAAATTCAGGACAACACAATCGTGGTTGGCCTATCGTATTGACTTGTGGCGACCTCAGCAGCTTGAATATTCTTGTCTGCGGTGATGATATTATTGGCGTCATTGACTGGGAAACAGCCGGTTGGTACCCGTCATACAGGGGATATACAACAGCTTGCCAAGTCAACCCCCAGAATTCTGTATAGATCAAAAAACTGACAAATTTTTCACGTCCCTGCCAGACGAACTACGGATGGAGAAAACTTGTCAGAAATACTTTCGACATACTTAAGAATCAATATAGTCATTTGCACAACCACCATGCCCACCTCAGACTCACTTAAACTTAAACCCTACCCTTCTCGCAACTAGTCTGTATACAGTTAGAGTTTAAACATACTTGGCACTATTTAACGTATTTGTGAATTAAATACCTTCACTTCTTGAACCCGTGTTTGTTCTCACTTCGGTCAGAGTCTGTTTCTTCTGCAACGATTGCATGCTTGAATCCGGCATTGGCGACACTCGAATATATATTCGCGTAAGTGATGAAAGCACTCTTCACATCGATGCGGCCCACGTAAGTATTTCCATTTGCTGTGCCCACACTCATGATTGTCTCTGAGCTCTTGCATAGTTCTTGCAACCAAAAGATCTCGTGCTGTCCGAGTAGTGGGAGAAGGAAGGGTTGCAAATGGCTCCTCATCTGCCACAATTACATCCTCAGATTGCACCTCCCGGGTTTGAAAATGAGGCTCATGAGCCTCCGGTACGAGCTGACCCTCCACAAGGGCCTCGTCGGCATCTTGTGGGAGGGCCGCAGCTGCCGGCTGATCTGCTTCTCGATCGATTATTTGATATGCACGGGCAAGGAGACGATGCTCATTCCATTGTTCACACTGGCATTTCTTCCACTCCAGTCCGCAATTGTAACAGAATTCGGCACCGCAGCGACAGCTATTGTCGATATCCGTCAGATTTGGAATTGTGGGAAACCCCATTAAAGAGAAATAAAGAAAAAAGAATAAATAAGTCAGAAACACGAAAAAACAGAATAGAACAGAATAAAATGAAATGAAATTAAATAAAGGGTTTGGGAAAAGGGAATAATGCCACATACATCATATGGTTGCAACCATAACTTAATTCCACCACTCGCCAGCATGAAAAGCAACGTTGCCACCCATTTTCCTGTGCGGTTGCTAGTAGCTGTTGCAGGGAGGAGTCATCGGGACAGTCACCAGTATGTGCTCGTCCTTTGCAGTTTGCACAAGTCGTGTGCCCGCAGTCAGGACATGTGGCCACTTCACCACTGATATGAGATATATCGATGAATGCACCACAGTTGGCAGAGTAGCAGTACGTTCTGTTCGGGGTTTCGTATTCCACCTTCTTTTTCTGATACTGCTCCACTAAATCAGACTCCAAGAATATGCGAGCAGTGGTCAGATTTATGGGTTGTCGACAGCATCGCGGAGGAAAGAGAGACTCGTCTATCATTGAAGACTCGAAGAGATCTGCCAAACAGGATCGACAATACTCGTGCTGACAGGGAGCGCGAAACACGTTCACGAAATCGGTTAGTTCCCTGCAAGCTACACATCGTCGGGCTCGCGGTAAAGAGTGACCAGCTCGTCGGATTGCCCGGGCAGATGATTCAGCACACTCATTTCCACTCTCTCCTGTGTCCAAGTCTTCTGTAAAGCTGTAGTCTTCCATATTATTGACATATAAGATCTGAAGTTTAGCTAAGGTCTCGTCATCCAGAGCCGCTGACTCCGACGCAAGCTCACTTAGAAGCACATTACATCCATCTTCCATCAATTGCCGAGCAATAATCCGGTCTTTTGAGGCATTCTCTTCTTCGACTTGGGTCTCGGCCAGAACATGTCCATCAGCTTGCACCGCAGTCGCGAAACTCATGGCCATTCGCCTATCCTGCAGATACTGTGAGATATTTTCCCATTCCTCGTTTTGCAAGTGGAAGGCCAACTCTTCATCTGTAGGGTCGCGTGATTTTCCTTTGGAAGACTCGAAATAAAGGTCCGTCTCTTGGAGCTGTAGCTGGACAATCAGATCGAATGTTGGTTGGTCGATACCTGGATCTAGCACGCAGGCCATCGTGATTTAGTAAGGTAGAATGTGTCTGGAAAGGTAAGAGTGCAGTATTGAGCAGCAGTCTCGAGTTGTTTGATGAAAGAAGGAGTTTATCATTCCATCACAAGTTGACCCCTTGATTCGCATACTGTTCTCTCTTCGAGTGCCTTGGCATCTCGCGGGTAGTCATTACCCCGCTCACGTGAGACCGTGGTGAAAGGACTTGGAACAACTCATAGATCAAACGTTGTCCATTTACAGTGCCATAACAAAACCAGCTCATTAAAGCAGTCTGAGGCAGTCATGGAAGTTGTGCAAGACATGGTAGAGGTTAATGGTTTGTGCAGTGATTGAGCGCTTCTACTGTGCTGTCGAAAGCTCAGGGTTTCTTTTTCTCTCGGTCTTATTCCAGACAGGAGCTACGACCATTGTAATTTTGGAGAGGCCGGCAGTAAGCATCGATTGTACAGCGGTGGGTACCTAAGATCGAGACGCGCTCGCTTACGAAGCCGTCACGTGACTAGAAACCACGAAATTGCGTCGCCGGGATCATCTGTTGGATGACCACCAGTTGGTTTTGTTACGGATATCATACAGCTTACTATCGCTGCATGCTACCTTTCTTGACCATCCGCCTCTTTTTGGGTGGGCCCGTTAATAACTTACTTCCACATAACCTCAACGGAGAAAGCGGTCCTATGTTGCCACATTTGGGAAGACACGTCACAACCATTTATGCATGCAGTTGGAGAGGAAGACACTGTACGCGTATGATACATCACTTAATAACCGCTACCAATCAGTGGTCTCGTCTTATCTCTCCTGAGTATGCAAAGATGCCAAGTTAGGCAGCCACTGGTATTCCAGAGTCAACCTTCTAACTTACCTCAACATCGTTAACAAAGAGCAGGACGAGAATGTTAAGCTTTATTTAAGATAGCCAAGTAGGCCTTACTGAGTCAACACACACTCTAAGCTCCACAAGTTATTTGTACTTAGGAGGAAATGGAGGATGCCTTTTTCTCCCGTTTTCCAGGCTTCCAGCCTAACCGGTCTCTTTCTACGGCCGAAGAATTTTCTCGTCTAGCACATCATATGAATTGGAGTCCTGGTTCTAAGAAATACAGAAGAGAACTGGCCAAATTCGCAAGTACAGAGTTTGCGCATTATTATGAGATCGGCAATAAGCTCCAAAACTACCGGGCTCTCTGTCAGGAACTACGGCTCGAGGGGCCTTTTACTAGCGTCACACAGTGCCGAAAGGTATGTTTCCCCTTGTTCTTAATGATCAGTGGCTTAGATTCGCGGGACTAAATTATATAGGCTCTTGCTAAAGTGCATGTCAATATTTTTGACCTAATTGACTCTCGCCGCACAGGAGCGACTGTTCAAAGATTTCCTAACCAAGCCGCGCTCAAGAAGTATACCAGAGAAACCCAAAAGATATTCCCTAAGCAAGCGGCCAAAGCAGATGGCTTCCTTAAAGAACTACTACGCAAAATCTTCTGATTAGGTACGAATGGCGGTATTAGTTTTTTTGAGCTAATGATGGGAATTTTGCTTCGAGGCTACAAGCTTGGGGCATACTCTGTAGAACGGATTTTGGAATGTCCTATGTTCTATATGATATATTAGGCAGGAACGTTCTTTGGTTTTAGGGAAAGAATTAGCTTGAAGTCCACATATTTTCGCGTCTCAACTTATTAAATCAGCCCTTAGGTGCTATTGCTATGCAACACCTAGTTTACAGTCGGTCTCGAAACTCCTCTGACCTTCAAACACATGACAATTGTTTTCCAGCCCCACTGACAAGGGCTTAGCGCGAGCATATTATTTGAGCAATATTCGCTACAATGCGATCTGTATTGGAGGCCACCATCATTTGCAAGTGGATTGCTCTCTATAACTCCCCTACTATATCCTTGGCAGTGGGACGAGAAAACAATCATCATGTGTTTGAAGGTCAGGGGAATTTCGAGACCGACTGTATACTAGAGAGACAGGCCCAGATAATTCAGGAAGCTTTTTGCGCGTTCGAGAGTAGTTCTGCATAATCGTGGGGATCATCGCGTATTACATGTGATGGGTGCATTCTGAATTTAAAAGACTTGAATTATGGTAACAGAACCTTGCCACTTTTTTACTTTTTTATTTGACAGGCAATAGATGATAAATTGTTGAAATGTTGATTATATCATCTTATTGTAAATGTAAAAGCGATTGAATGCTGGAGATCTGGAGATAGATGGTTAGTCTGGCAAAACCCTCCATTGCAGGAATGGAGAGATGGTGCGGTCCGCTTTAAACTTTTAATGATCTGACTGTAATACCGTCAGGATTTTCTGATCATTGAGTGATGTGGGTTTCGCTCGATAGAACGCCCCACCGAGAATGGATGGATGGATGGATGGTTTCATTTACGCTGACCCCACCGAGAATGGTGCACAAATGGTGTTTAACTGGGCCAACTGCGATCAACTCTTCGGCCCTCCATTCTTTTCCGGTGCAGCTATATTTAGCCAACTGAGACTAGAACTAGTGTGAACTATGGTCAGGTGGTGATCAACTACGATCAACTCTCGGACCCACTCAGGTCAAAGTGCTGTCCACCATGATCAACTTCAATCAACTGTCCGCCCCACTTAGGATCAGGCGCTATGCCAGCCTCCAAAATCACTTCTTGCCTTACTGGGCTAGCGGTGCTTAGTTAGCTGTAATGATAGGTTGCAGCTGTAAATTTCCCACAGCAGAGAATAAGATCGAAAGCCTATCTCATTGTCGCCGAATTACTTGGCACTTTAGAGAGGCGGGTGCCTTTACTACCAGTGCAAATTCTTTGCAAGTTGACAATTTGAAGTGAACCTTAAGGTGACGACAATATACTGTGGATGTCATGTCATATTATGGTATTGATGTTTGATCTGAGGAGCAATTTATTTACGAGAGCAGAGTTGGTCGCGCCAATTATCTTCGTCATCTGCCAACATACATTGTGAAACCTTATTCCAGGAATATTTCTGCAGGTTAGTGGCTTAGGCCAGCGGATCACGGTAACTGCTGCCGGGGTTCTTAAGTAGATTTGTATTAAGAGATAAATACTATGCTGGAAGATGAAGGCACTAATTACATTCAGTGTAGGACTCGCAAATAACGTTGCTCCAAAATTCCTTAGAACCATGTAAATATGTTTGAGGAGGCGCATAGCCATACACAATTAGCTTGTCAGTGCTGAATCTATGACACATCCTCACAGGTTGTCGACGCCCGGTCTCTTGTCTCGAGTTTCCAGGACTTGTTGGGCTTGGTGTTTTGTACGCTTACAGCCCAAAAACCAAAGTACAACGGAGGTTAGAGGAAGAACACTTACAATACAGACAACAATCGCACCCGCAAGCTTGGACGTAGCGTTGCTTTTCGCCTTATGTACCCTGCGGGAATGCAGAAAACAGACATTGTGAAAGTTATTCCGTGGGATTTGTCGGCATTAGCTCTAACAACGAAGCTACACTGGGACTAGTGTAACTTCGTTATTAGGGAAGCCTATTGAAGTGAAAGAGCTGTTTCTCAAGAGCACAAGCGCAGCTATCAATGAAACCGTAGCTGTTAATGACGCTCATGACGCTCGCAACTGGCCGGCTGAAATGCGCAGTAGTGTTTTATTAGAATTAAATGGGCACCGCAGGCTGGGGCATGCCTTGACAAAGGGTTTTGGCTAACTAAGTAGATTCAGTGGTTGGTGGTTGGCTTCCAAAATCGTCTGGAGCGTGGGCAGATGAGAAGACCTTAAATGAGCTTCTTTATGGAGCCTTCCAGGGCTCTCAGACTCTCAATTGTTACAAAATGTCAAGCCGCATGCGCTAATCCCAGAGCATGAACCGTCGGCAAGAAGTCCCACTGCAGTTAGTCTTCTTAATTTCAGGCCCTTTTTCTTTTGCGAGCCAAGTTGAGAAAACATCTCATCGATTACTAGACAAGGTCACTAACCATAAGTCCTATTTTCCGTAACGTCCCGCCGATCTCATGGTACCCACATGTCCACCGCTCATTGCAGCCTTCTAGTAGAAAAGGGTTTGTAGCCTCCTAGAGAGTTATGCGTGCGTTTTACTCGTCTAAATACAGAGAACTGTGACATGGCGAGCTGCAAAGTCTCTGGCCTTTTATGAGGAGACTTGGATGCCTGTGTCCCTTACGTCTGGCACCGAGTCGCATTGATTATCAACGGCTTGCAAAATAAGAACATTCATTGATTCGCAGGGACACCTTTCTGTCATAGTTGCAACCGAGACACACTGACCACTCACTGTATCTTTCCACCATTTCAGTAATCGTACTTAATTTCAGCCGATCGATTGGGAGAGTAGTGGGTAAACGGATATTTTGGCTGCGTGATTTTCCAAGGTGGGGACGATGCCGGATTCAATGAAAGCATCATTCGTGAGCTCAAAATTGGAAAGTCACTGAGAAGATCGTGAAAGGAACTTTGCAGTCGGAGTTTGTCAATACAATATGCAGAGTATTGGCTCAGCCAGTTTAATAAAGCGTCATGCTCATGGAGTCTGAGAAATGACAGCCGCACAGCATCAATAACTGCAAGCTGCGTATCAAGACTATTTGGTTTTTCCAAATCCATGAAACAGGCAGTCACCTTTTCGAAAGCCAGATGCTGAAGCTCAGAGATAAGATATGTCCCGGAGAAGATATACAGACGTATGTGGACCAATAGTGGATGGTTCTCGGAAGTAAAATCCGCCGCTGGGGGTGCAATAATAGGCTTACCCTCGACATTTGCTTCAATACCGTGCGGAAGTGACTTTTGGACGGGCTCGATTTCTCTGATCACAGTAGGATAATCGCCCCTGTATGCCCACTCAATGAAGCGTGTAACTGTTCCTTCTGTCGTTTCGTCAAATCTGTATATTCCCTGTCGGCCCTCATCGAAACTCCCATCCAAGGCAGCAATCACTGGTTCGCATTTCAAGCCGAGCAGCTTTCGATGAATTTTAAATAAACGTCCGGCATGACCAGCTTGGAGAGAAACGAGCTCTGAATCGAGAAAACCGTCACGAGGTTAATGTCACATACGTCAATTTTCTCGACAAGTAACAGTACTCGATATATGACGATTCGCATTTGTTGGCCTTTTTCTCCATGGCTATTTGAAAGAGCAGCGATGACACTGGTAATCTAGCAATGAGAAGTTTATTTAATTGCAGATTCGAACGGATAATTAAAGGATGGAGACTCGGAAGGTGGTATTCTATTGCTTTTGTTCGCCTTTTATGTTATGACTTCCTTAGCCCCGGTGGGTCTAGATGGTGGCACAACAAGGACTTCCAATCATCACCATATCGCAAACTGCTGACATGTGCTGTGTGATTATTCGTCAGGAAGATACAGGTTGCCAGTTTGATCAGGTAGTGATTTCTATCGACAACAATACGTGTTGAGTGAGACCGACTGGGCAAGTCTGTATAGGAAAGGGTTGAGATGGTGCTGATATACATGGATCTTCCTTACAGGCAGATAATTACTCCATCAACCCGGGGAAAGTGTAATGAAGTGTACTAATCTCCGAATAGGAAACTCAAATCTCCTTTTAAACCATAGCAGGGTCGCTCCTTCCTACTCTTCTCCCCATTCTCTAATTCTGCGGGGCGAACGCCTGATCTGGACCCATAATAGCACACTTCAAGCCCTTGAAGGGTACATGGAGCCTACGTTCCGATAAGACGCGGATTCCCTCTTCTGGAGGAGTCTTCGCAACCTGGTTTTCTGAACTGGGAGCGCAAAGGTAACATAATGGCAGGGTTCCCGCTCGTGGTTTCCTGTTATGCATTTATTGATTAAAAACCTGGCGACCAGGACCAGATATGGCAGTGTGGCAGTCTAGGGAACTCTTGATACGCTGCAGCTTTGGTAATAACAGAGAAAAATCTCTCGCAACTGGGCCTCGTCATCCAATAAATGCATGACAGAGAACGACGAGCGGACACTCTGCCACTATGTTGCCTTAGCGCTCCCAGCCCCATAAAGAGAGAAGGTATTGATTTGCTCGTAATGCAAGAAACGGAGGAGAAAAATAGGCTACTGCTGTGTCCTGCAGAGCAGTCAAAAGGGGATCTACCTAAGCATTCCTGCCCTACTAGAGCATTACCAAGTTCGAACCAAGGGGGAACGTACCTGCTCTGTCACATGGATAGGCATGGCAACCTATAATACGCTGTGTCTATCAGGCGTCATTTCATGTCCCATAACCTTATCTTCTTACAGCCTCCTTCAAATTCCTCACCTTTCTTTTGTCTGCCATCTATTCATCGACAGGACGTCAAATCTTAGGCCTCGAAAGCCGCGTCTGATGATGGAAACTAAAAGTTTGATCCTACGGGACATCGACTGGAACCTCGACGAACAGGACTTACACTATATATCGCAGAAGCTGTCCGGGAAGTTGTAAGTGACCACAGGATCCCCGCTAGAACCGGTTGTCATAACGATCAGGCTTCCAGTGTCTTTCAAAGCACTGGGACGCGTCAAGCAGCAGCTCGTTTCTCATGCTTCTCTCTTTGCCATCGATCTGAATTTTTCTCAAGGTCTAGTCCTTGCTGGCCCTCTTTAGAACGATCGCCATTACTGCTGCTGACGAAAACGGCCTGTTGTTCATAAGCTCTAAATACGTGGAAAGCTACAAGTATGAATTTGAAGTTCTTGGTCTGATCGAAAGGGAACTTGGCGCGTATGAAAGTATGCTTTTGGAGAGAGTGAGCCATGACCGTGTACTAAGCTCTCTTCAAAAGGCAACGCCACGGGGATTCTGGCAATAGGCTGTTGAGTTAACTAATACTTACGTTTGACCTATTCGGATACGCGGTAAAGAATTTCGTGTCAGTCTTTTCCATCAGTTAGGACCGCAACGGAAGGCATGAGTTAACTCCTCCGCTATGGTGGCAATACAAAACACACAACGTCAAGAAGAGAGAGGATTCTGGGAGCGTTAAGATGAACCGTCTATTCACCGAATCTGGATTCGTATACTGGGCGTTCCATCCACTCATTGGTACGACCTGATTCCATGTGATGACATAGCTGCAGATAACTGGGCAACAACTTATCGTACGGCACCGACTGGTAGGGGGTGCTGGCTAACCTCGCTGGCGGATTCAACTAGATCCAAAAGTGGCAATTACGCTGGCGCAGTTCTGTTAATACCTAAAGTGGTATAGCATGACTGTTTGGTGGGCGGTTAAACTATTTCCCGATCATCAGACCCACGGTTCGGTTGAGCTTGATGCAACTACCCCGCTCGATGTGCGGACGAGTGGCTAGTGGCTTTTATTCTTTAATACGTCTCCTGACGTAGTCGTCTCAGCCACGCTGCTTGGTTGGTAGGTGTGACGAAGATCGAGAACATAAGAGACGTCTTCAGGAAGTGTGCTGGGTAGGGAGGTCAGGTAGCTATGCATGTGAAAATGTAGGGCTACTGTACAGTAATTGTGGTGGAAAGCGCCACATTGACGACCCCAAAACGAGTGGCTTGTTCCGTGCGCGACTCCGCAAATAGCATGTATAAAACAGCATGCCGTGCCTTGGGCACTTGGTAGGTAGTACTGGTCCGATGAAGTTTTACATTCTCAAGCAGATCAATTATCTCAGACCACATGGACCGCGACGAGCATCTTGAAGAGGTTCAAAGGATCCTCAATTATCGATTCCGGGATATCACACTCCTATCGGACGCACTCACAGCAGCCGGTGCAGACTTGGATAATTATGAGGGAAATAGAAGACTAGCACCAATTGGCGTGGACGTAATCGGTCTTTGTTTGGATTTTGACGCACATCAGAAAAAGGGCAAACCAAGTAAGAGTCCAGGGACGATAACCTTGTAGGATCTTTCTCAGTGGAACACCAGGGGAAACTGCCGTCCTAAAACAACAACTTTGTTGTTACAACCATCTAGCATTCGTTGCTCAACGCACATCAATCGATAAGTACATTAGATTTAATCCTAGGTCTGGAAAAGGAAGTACAACTGTTGTCGGAAAATCCCTTGCAGCAATTATAGCAGCGGCATACTTGGACTCTGGGAATCATTCTGATACCTGGGGCGTTATGCATTATATAGGGTCGGGTATGTCCTATGTCAATCCGACTTGGCTGACTTCCGAGTACAATAGCTTTTTCATCCAAAACCAAGACGGCATAAACCCTGCAATGTTGGAATCAAACGCGAATTGTGAAGCACAGTTTCCTATTATGGATCCACTTGCAGCCCCATGCAATATTTTATCGAATGTGCATACGAGCCAAGTGAGCGTGGTGTCACTGGTATAGACCCTAACATGCATTTCCCCAAACTGAGATGGTAATTAACGGGCTGACAAATATGATTTCCCTTATCAATGAAGCAGGAAATCGAAGCTGGAGTTGACTTCATGGCGGTGCCCAGGAGAAGACCCGCTGAAAGCGCTCCATGTGAGACCCAGGGCAGCAAAGCGAAGGTTAGGCGGTCTCAGCGCTTCACCAACGATCGGCTCGAACCCTTCCTTACTCGTGAGTCCGAAAAATGCAGAGCCTTGAGAATCGCCGGCCCAGAAGAATCATACTATGCCCCTGACATCCACATGGAAATTGCGAAATTGGTAAAAGATACTTCAACAGAGCTGCCCAAAAAATTGTTACTGTGTGTTGCTACCTCACAATCAGTGGTAAGCCTGAAGAAGGCCATTCTAGGGTGGCGAACTCAGACGGGTATTGCCCCCTGGCAGCTATCCAAATCAGCATCCAAAGCAGAAGCGTTTCATATAATCGAGAATATGAATCAAGATATGATGTGCTTGTCCCTTCTCCGACGGTATTACATCCTCCGTCTGTTTGAGGATTGCAGAGGGTGTGATACGCCATCATTCGCAGGATTTGTCTCAGTCCAGGGAAACGGTGTCCTTTCTCGTAAAAGGGGAAACCCCCTGAACAATGCGGAGAATGACCTGACGACAGCAATGATGAAGGAGATATTCCCTGCTCTACTGCCTGGAACACAAGAATACGACGACAAGCGTGGTGCTGTAAATTTCTATCGAAAGCTTGGCCGGAAGTTTCATATGTTAACATCAAGTTTCGGCAAAGGCATACTTGCACTGATGCCGCATTATGACCTACCTGGAGGACCAGACATCAGCATTTCAGACAATCAGTAAGCACTTTGAGACCCAAATATTGCCCCGCTAACTAATTTAGGCTTCATTCTCTGCGCGAGCCAACATTTGCGCAAGTCATTTCCATTCTAGCACGCACCCAAGGTGAGGCTTTGCGTCAGTTCAACGCAGCTGCCGAGAGAATCGTGGATGCCTTGATGGAATTTCCGGTAGAGCGTTGCCCGGTATTTGAACTTGAGGAAATTGCGGATAGCCAAATACTGGAGTACCCGAAGAACTCATCGGGCCTACTTTCCCTTCTCGGGTTGAGAAGGCATGCTCAGATTATGACAGGTCCATATCCGCCCGCAGACGAATCAACTTAGCTAGGCGAAATTGGAGGTAGTCGATATATAAAACGAAGAATAGCAACATTTGCGTCTCCTAGTTGAAACTAAATTATTACAAAATGGGTATTCATTGTAAATCATATTGTCGGAGAGACGCAGTGTGACTGTAGGCTTAGCATAACTGCTATATTCGGAACGTCATCCGAGCGGCAAATAATGCACCGAATTTCATACCGTGCACGCCTGATCGATGATTTAGTCCACTGTTGCTTATATAAGTGCTTGCTCGCAGCTTCTAAGGAATGAAGATAGCCTGCCTATGACCTCTTGCTGTATGTAACTCGAATGGGAATGCAAGGAATTACTGCTCCAGTGCCACGTATTCTGTTGTCACCGCGGAGGTATATAAAGATTACGATCCCACTTTATGACTTCTTCTCCCTCACCTAACTGCTAAGTCATACCAAACGAAGGCAACCATAACAGGAGAGAAAGGAAAATGGACCAATTCCGGCCTCGGAGCTACCAGCAAGAAATGCTAGAAATGAGCTTACGCGAGAATATTATCGTTGTAGTATGCTACTCTTTCAGAGACGAGGAAAACTGCTTGTATCGCAGGCTAACAGTGTGCCAGATGGATACGGGAAGTGGGAAGACTCATATGTACGCCTCATTACGCCTGAATTCTGTTTCGTCAGGATCGAATAACCAGGAAAATAAATAGAGCATGCATGAGAATAATGGCGGAGCTGCAGCGCTGTGCCTTGGATAAGGTTTGAATGATTAATCCCTCCACGGCTTCTCAGTCTCAAACATATTCAGATAGTTTGGTTCCTTGCTCCCACTGTCGCCCTTTCGATCCAGCAGAAAGAAGTCATTGCTTCTCATATCCCGGCAATGAATATCAAACTGTTAATCGGAGACGACGGAGTTGATCGTTGGAGTGAGCAGCGGATTTGGGACGACGCCCTTCACGGCGTGCGGATTGTTGTCTCTACGCACGCCGTGCTAGCGGAAGCTCTTGCCCACAAGTTTGTGGTGATGGCAAAGCTGGGCCTCATTGTGTTTGACGAAGGTAAGGATAATGTTTTGCTATTCAGTACACTTGGCTGACTGGTGATTAGCCCATCATTGCGTTAAAAACCATCCTGCCAATCTTATTATGAAGGATTTCTACCACCCCACAAAGAACGAGCAGGGGCCTGAGTCTGTCCCGCGAATCCTTGGCTTGACCGCCAGTCCTATCATGAGAACCAAGCTACATGACATGTCGTAAGTCTAGTGTAGAAGCCATGAGGAGAAGGGTTCTCATTCCCCGGGTGCAGACAGATAGAACGGAATCTCAGTGCAGTCTGCAGAACACCTCGAGCACAACGACAAGACCTCATGAAATATGTCCACCCACCGCAACTCATCTTACTCCGATATGCCGCTCCTGACGACTCAAATCGCGCCTGGCCCTCGCCATTTCTCGAAGCTATATCTCAGGCCCACTCCCGCGCCCAGTCTCATCTTGAACTCTCCGATCACTCAGTTGTTCGGGAGGTCCAGGACGAGCTGGAAAAGTTCAAGGCAAAGGCAATTGGGATCGGCAACCTGCTGGGCACATGGGCTGCTGATTGCTTTATTGCAGAATCAGTTAAAAGACTCGTCGGAAGAGCCGGAATGACCGATTCTTTATGGGCTGACCCTGCGAAGGCACATTTAGCAGAGATAGTAAGACCCATTCTTCAGCTGGCCCCTGCTATTCCTGGCTCCTCTAGCACAGTGTCAGAAAAAGTCTGCGGCCTTCTGGCTTTCTTGAAGGAGGAGCACCATGAACATTTCTCGGGAATTATCTTTGTCCGTGAACGTGCAACGGCCTACGTACTGGCGGCTGTAATACGATGCCATCCTCTTACCCACGGCCTTTTCCAGTGTGCATCGTGCGTAGGTTCGTCGAACAACAGAAACAGAAAAAGCGGCATTTGTGACCTGCTAGGACCTGGTGCAGATGATGTTCTTCAACAATTCCGACAGGGCCAGATGAATCTTATAGTTGGAACGGATGTCCTGGAGGAAGGCATCGACATGACGGCTTGCCATCTGGTTGTATGTTTCGATCAACCGAACAATCTCAAATCTTTCATCCAAAGGCGGGGCCGCGCCCGGCAGCAGCAGTCAAAGTTCGTCATCATGATCGCAGATAACGACATGACAAAAGGGATCGAGCGGTGGCAGGAAGTCGAAGACGAAATGGTGCGGCTGTACAGGGACCACAAGAGGAAGTTAGAGGAGATCGCGGCACTGGAAAACATTCCGGAGAATGTTGTTCTCTGTATGAGACTACAAAACGGGTTGGTATTTTCCAATCTTAGCGATTGTCTGGGGGTAGTGATAACAATTCAACCAGGGCATTGCTGACCGCCGATTCTGCGGTTTCTCACCTTTACCATTTCTGCTCCACTCTGAATTTGGAACCGCATGCTGATCTACGCCCATCGTTCAACTTCGAGCAAAATGAGGCCGGCCATGTCCGAGCCACAGTGACACTTCCCAGTGGCGTAGACCAGTCACTTCGCGTTGCGACAGGAGCTAAGTGGTGGCTCACAGAGCGTGCAGCACGAAAAGATGCCGCATTTCATGCATATGTTGCGTTGCATCGAGCCAAGCTGGTCAACGATCATTTCCTGCCTTTGACCCCGGAACGCCTCTGGCGAGATGCGGCAGGCGATCAACCCGCTTTGACGTCGAAGATCGCTCTTGAGGCTATCTTCGACCCGTGGAAGCAACTAGCTGTTCCGACGGGTCATAAACTACATAGAAGCCGCGTGCGCATATCACAGAATGGGAAAGATCGTCCCGAACTTGGAATGATTCTCACAACATCCGTTCAGTTTCCTGCAACAGAACCTTTGGAGCTATTCTGGGACAGTGGAACGAACTTCGTCGTTTCTTTACAATCCCTGGAGAGTTTCAGTATATCGCCGGCCGAGCTGCAGCTAATGCGTGAGACTACATCCGTTCTGCTGTCGTCAACAAGGACAAAGGTTCCCGGCAACGACGCCGTCGATGCTCTTAATGTCTTGGTATCTCCGGATATCCCTCTCGATGAGCTTGAGACATGGTTGGTAGAGAATCGAGGATGGCGGAATTGCCTGGACTGGTACCGTGATGACTCCTCCTCTCAACCACAGGGACTCGTCCGATGCGAACTTCTGTACAATAAGCCCCACAATTTTATTGGATGGATCCAGCTGGACGATGATTCCGAACCTTTGGTCTGCTGCGAGCCTTTTCGTAGAAGAAGGAACCTCCTGCTGAAAAGCACTTTGTGCCAACGGCTATCCGACAGGGGAAACCCGGATTGTGGGAAGTCTCGGGCAAAACAGGTGCCCGCAAGCTTATGCACCGTTGATCTTTTGCCGTGGGAATTGAGCCGCGCAAGTCTCCTTTTCTCCGCGTTGATGCAGCTACAGCAGAGACTCCTGATCGCAGCGCACCTGAGGAATTCCGTTCTTGGGCACCTTCCTTGTATTAGCCTTGGAGTTCTTGCAGATGCTATTACGGCTCCTTCGGCTCAATGGACGAGCAATTATCAACGTCTCGAATATCTCGGCGATGGCGTCTTGAAATTCGCTGTGTGCATCCAACTGTTCCATGATCACCCTTTGTGGCACGAGGGTTACTTATCACAGAGAAAAAGCCAGATAGTATCCAATGCATCGCTCGCCCACGCCGCTCTAAAGGCAGGCCTGGGACCGTTTCTATTGACGGAGCCGATGACGAGCAGAAAGTGGACTGCCCCAAGGGTTTCCGACCAACCTTGCCCGCCCGCGGGCAACCGTGTAGTATCTGGAAAAGCCCTTGCAGATACATTAGAAGCACTAGTAGGGGCAGCTTATGTTGACGGCGGGATGCAGCTTGCTTGGGCGATGATCCACGTGTTCATACCGGAAGTCGCGGACCGAATGCCTTCTCTGGCACCTCAGCGACCCTCGCAGCGGGACTTTAATATGGGACCAGACTTGGAAGAGAAGGTTGACAGGTTGATAGGCTACCAGTTTCTTGATCGATCCCTTGTATGGGAAGCTCTCACGCACCCGTCGTGGCAAAGGGACCTTAGTACGGGATCGTACCAAAAGCTTGAATTCCTCGGTGATGCTATCCTCGACATGATCATAACGGATGCACTTTACAAGCATAGGCCGCCGTTGACTGAGGACGAGATGACGAAAGCAAAGGCGGCGGTGACCAACGCACATTTTCTCGCATTTCAATGCATGGAATTCGGGCTACAAAACAATCAGACCCGTATTCGCGAATCGCAGAGCGGAGAGTTTATTCGGGAAACTCAAGAGGGCGTTCTAGAGCTTTGGAGATTCATGCGGCATGATAACCCGGATGTATCTGCGGTCCAGAAGTTGTGTCTAGAGCGATATCAAAAACTGCGTGAGCCGATTTGCGCGTGCTTGGCAACAGGAAATACGTATCCATGGGTTAGTTTAGCCCAGCTAGGAGCTGAAAAGTTCTATTCCGACATCACTGAAAGTATTATTGGCGCATTGTTCATCGATTCGTGTGGGAGCATCGAGCAATGCGAGGCATTCTTGACTCGAATCAAAATACTACCCTACTTGTCTCGCATATTGCGGGAGGAAGTCATGGTCGAGCAGCCAAGATCTGTTCTGGGTCGCTTGGCAAAATCAAGCCGAGCCGAGTATAATATTACACGGAATGCCAGCAAGGCAAGTTTATACGACGTCTCAGTCGTTCTGAATGACGAGGTTCTACACCGCGTTGAAGGTTGCTTGTCGCAGGAAGAATGCGTCGTGACGGGGGCTGACTTGGCAATTGCGACACTGCGAGACCGGAGTTCTCGGCGGCCAGCATCTATTGCAGCAGAACTTTGGATTTTGACTATGGCGAACGAAGGCATTCTTTATCCGTTCTGCTCCAAGGCAGCATTTGACAGTAAATGTAACGGGAGTATTAATGAATAGAAAGCTTGTGCCACCTGGTAATACCGTACCCACAAATATAGGTCAATAGGCCATTTGCATTTGGCGGCGACCATCTATTCTGGACTTTCCGAGACTCGTGATCTGATTATAAATTTGCCGTGGTGTTATACGTCCCTACTCGGTCATCCTGCTCGACGAATATATTTTCCCGTGCCACCCTTCACCTCGTCTAAAGTCTACCACAATCCAGAATCACACTTTCTATTTTTTCACTGGATTGCCCTTCAAGACAACTCGATAGATAATAGTCTACCCTCTGATGTCCGATCGAGGTAGTATCCTTCGAGGTCGTGGTTGGGGACGCGGACGCGGCGGACAAGGCGGCGGGTTTCGAGACCATGACGTCCACTGTCGTGAGGGCACTGGCCCTAGAGGTGGGAGAGGTTATAGAGGTGGAGAACGAGGCCGGGGCAAAGAGATATTCCGGTGAGCGTTTCTGGACCCGTGCAGTTGTTACGGGATGATAGATAAATCTATTGTGTCCTTTGTGAGCTAATAGAGGGTATTGCGCCAGGCAAGCTCAGGCCCCAGAACTTGATCGAATGGTTCAGCAGAAAGAAGATGCTATCCAGAAAGCACTAGCGGCCAATTCTCCCCAGCCTGAAGACAGAGGTCGTCTTCCCACGCGACCGGGGTATGGAACTCGAGGAAACAAAGTTCTTCTTTATGCGAATTATTTCCAATTATCGGTTAAGTCCAAAGAAGACTTGTTTCGCTACAATGTGGAAGTCTCCCAAGAACCCAAGGGGCGCAAGCTGAAACAGATTTTCCGTCTATTGCTGGTCTCGCACTTTGCGCAGACGCTTAATAGCATTGCGTCGGACTATAAATCCATCCTTATCTCCAGGGTGGATCTGTTGCAGAAGCAGCATGAACGTGTGTATGACGTGCATTATAGGGAAGAGTACGATGATCACTCCCGACAGAACGCAAGGGTATTCAGCGTGAAAGTGACGTTCACTGGGAAAGTTAGTATTTCTGCTTGCCTTGATTATCTCTCTTCGACGAACGCGAGCGCGATGTTCCACTACAAGCCCGAGGTACTGCAGACCCTGAACATTGTGATGGGCTATTATCCAAAAACTAGCGAAGAAACAGTATCTCTGGGTTCAAACAAACATTTCAACATTGATCCGAGCTCTGTCGAACGGTTTGATTTGGGTGCTGGTCTCGAGGTTCTCAGGGGCTTTTTTGTGAGTGTTCGCGCTGCTACCTCACGATTCCTTATAAATTGTCAGGTCAAATATGCTGCATGCTATCAGGAAGGAAAGCTATCAACGATAATGGCTGCATACCGACGAGAAGGTCCCCCAAGCGTCTACAGGCTGGAAGCTTTCTTGAAAAGGCTGAGAGTTCGAGTTACCCATATCCGCCGGGTTAATAGCGAAGGCCAAGATATCCCACGGTTCAAAACGATCACAGGCTTGGCTTCCCCGGCAGATGGAAAGTCTCTAGCTCACCCTCCAACTGTCCCTAAACACGGTGCTGGGCCCACAGAAGTACGATTCTGGCTTGAAGGGGTTGGTCCAAAAACCATTGGTAAGGCAAAATTCAAAGGGAAAAAACCCGCCAAGTCCGGACCAGAAGAGTCCGGAAGGTACACCACAGTCGAGGATTTCTTCAGGGAAAGTACGTGTTTTACCGAATCCCCCGTCTCGGAGCAGACCAGTCCTAACGCCACACCCAGGATACGGGCTCAATGTTGATTCCAAGATGCCAGTAGTTAATGTTGGCACACGTCAAGATCCGTCCTATTTGCCGGTCGAAGTCTGCGTTGTTATAGCTGGCCAGGCCGCGGGAGTCAAGCTGAGCGGAAGACAAACTCAGAACATGATCCGATTTGCGGTGCGCAACCCCGCCCAAAATGCTCGATCCATTACGACGAAAGGTGCGGGTGCACTGGGGTTGACACCCCAACTCAATACGACGTTGGTACAGTTTACCTTTCCTTTACTGTTGGGTCATATTAACCAGTCGCAACAGCGATACTTTGGGCTGGATAGTGACCCTACCCTTATAACCGTCCCAGGGAGGATCTTACAATCACCTTCCGTGCTTTATAGAGACCGCAGGAAGGTGGACGCTCTCGCGGCCAGCTGGAACATGAAGTCCGCAAAGTTCTCCACATCTAGCCGATTGTCATTCTGGGCATTTATTTACCTTGTCTCCGACAGAGAAAGGGTATACTTCGGAAAGCCAGCCGACCTAAAGCCCTGCTTGGCTGCTTTGAGCTCAAAACTAAACGACATGGGTGTTATTGCGAGCCCTGCAATGGATGGAAGGAGACTGGATGTGACAGGGGCCTACTATGATGGAAAATACCAAGCAGCCAAGCTTGATCAAGCCATAACTGATGCTATCACAGAATTGATGAGTAAACATAAACTGGACTTGGTCTTGGCAATTCTTCCCGCCAAGGATACCGACATATACAGCTCAGTCAAACGAGTTTGCGATTTGCACAATGGTGTCCGCAACGTCTGTGTGCTCGAGGAAAAGTTTTTCCACAAAAACGACCAGTACCTCGCCAATGTCTGCTTGAAAATCAATCTGAAGCTCGGTGGCGTGAATCAGGTGTTGGGAACTGATGAATTGGGAATCATCTCCGATGGCAAAACGATGATCGTCGGCATCGATGTCACCCATCCGTCGCCGGGGTCTGCAAAGCATGCACCCAGCGTGGCAGGCATGGTTGCCTCTCTCGATAAAAGGCTTGGTCAATGGCCAGCAGAGATCCGCATCCAGACATCCCGCCAGGAAATGGTCGCCGCCCTTGATACAATGCTGCGGTCCCGATTAAAGCATTGGGTTGCTGTGAACGGGCAGCTTCCCGAGAATATAATTGTCTACCGCGACGGAGTTTCTGAGGGTCAGTACAATCTTGTGGTGGAGAAAGAAGTCCCGCTTTTGAAATCCGCGTGTGAGCCAATGTATCGGAATGGCCCCCCACGCCTTTCGGTCATAATCGTTGGGAAACGGCACCACACTCGTTTCTACTCAACTCACGAAGACCAGGCGGATCGGTCATCCAATCCCCATAACGGCACAGTGGTCGACCGTGGAGTGACTGAAGCGCGAGATTGGGATTTCTATCTTCAGGCTCACTCTGCATTGCAGGGAACTGCTCGACCTGCTCACTATTATATTGTGTGGGATGAGATTTTCTCTGTACAGAAACCGCGTCCACTGTTCGAGAACGCAGCTGACCTCCTTGAGCACTTAACCCACAATATGTGCTATGTATTTGGTCGTGCGACGAAAGCTGTCAGTATCTGTCCGCCTGCGTACTACGCTGATTTGGTTTGTGAGCGTGTCCGCTGTTATCTCAAGGAAGTCTTTGATGCAAGTGCGGAACCAAGCCCGTCTGGCAGTATGCTCGAAGGCGGCACTGGACGGACGCTAGAGACGTCAGACGTTCAAATCCATCAAAATGTGCGAAACACGATGTTCTACATTTGACATACTTTCTGCTGGATTGTTGGTTCCTACTTCGTCATGTTCTTTTCTTGGACCTTAATGCAAATGCGATTCATAATTTCTCTTCGGAGCTAATTCGCGATAAAATTCGGGTTGATGGAGACTAAATTCACTATAAGTATCCATTGCCAAGTCCGTGAACTCATATCAATTTATCCAAACTGCGGTTTCCGATACTATGGCCTACTTTGTCGGTGCAGAGCATGACCGTACAACGGTCTGGTTCGGTACAGTTAAAATGAGGATATTGTGGGTTGCTTCTTTGAATGCTACGAACTTAGGGATGCACTGTATCCTAGTAACCGATGTATCATTTGAACTGTTTAACATAACTTCAAACCAATCGGGGCTTCGGCTGATCGAATTGCATTGGTATCCCAATACTTCTAACCCTGCAAGGGATTGTCCTTCCCATTATGAAATGTTCGCAGTATCCACATGAGCTTGCCATTTGTGCTTTCCTTGTCACCTTTACTGTCAACACGATAGATAATCTTCAACCGACAGAATGCCATATATTCATCATCTCAAAACCCGTCGACGGAGCAGCTTCCATCGAATCCTGCGACTTCCTCGTCCCATTTATTCGCCACATGCAGGGGTAGCACCCGGCCAGCGCCTGCGCACTGCGTTCTTAGTTCCAAGACGGTCGCACCGTCTTCGCGGGTGATCTCAAATCTTCCACAGTCCAAGCTTCGCGCAAAAGACACTATCTTCTTCAGCAGGTCGGCGAACCTAGCCAGAGTGGCTTTTTGATCTTCCTCCCAATGCCTGACCCGCTCGCGTGCGTCGATAACTTGGATATCACCAAATAGCCCAGCTTTATGGTGGGCAAGAATACAATACGGGACCTGTGCGATCCACAGCCGAGGTAACTCTTGGCCGAGTGTGTCCTCGTCCTTCTTTCTAAAGGAGCGGGTTTTCAGGTCAAAAATGGCCGACTGAGAGATGCATTCACCTCCCGCTGATATTTTGAGGGTTTCTGGATTTTCCAGACCACTTGCAGGTAAGTTGGAAATAGCAACATTCTCGAAGGAAGACAGAAGATCTTCTGCGGCCTCTGCTGGATCCCCTTCTGAGCTGCGACTGCTGTGGTGGTTCTGTGTCACCGAAGGTAGATAACCGTCTGCTTCAAAGCAGACTAAGCAACTCATACCAGCAAAGTCATACTTCATCACTCTTTGGTGAGACTCGGATCCTTTCACGTTCGCACCCCACGTGGTATATGCCTCTGGGAAAGTATGACCGTACCCATATACGTTCGGGATTACCTCGTCATGGGCATCCTCTCTCCTCATGAAAAAGACTGTTCTCCCAATGACTTCAATGAGGGTTCGAAAGGGCTTGCCCTCGCCGCGCACAAAACGTAACAAATTCCCGAGTGTACTTCCGCATGCGACAATGTCAATGTCCTGAAGCAGGAAGCCAGGTTTGCTTGCAAAAATGGCTTGAACCATTGGCTCCATGGGGTAGCTAGGATAGCGAGCGGCGTTCTGATCTCGAAAGTATAACCCCGAATCCTCTGAGAGCTGAGTTGGGTTTGAGAGAGGAGCCCACTTCGGAGGCTCACCTATTCAGCCATGCCTGATTAGCGGGGATATATCCTTTCCCTGTGGGAAGCTTTTGAGGATGTGCTTTCTTACCAGGTATGAGAATATGAGGCCCTCCTCCACTGAGCCAGTTGTACGACGCCAGGAATTGGCTGTCAGTTATCTGGGAGGTTATATTCTGCTTCTCCGCTTGAAGGTCACTTAGATAAATAGTTGCAAGAACCTCGCCACGTGGCGGAGGAGGAGCCTGCTGTACTCTTTGCTTTCGACTCCATGGCGTACTGTTCCTTCCATAACCACCTGCACAGCCTCTATTGCGTCCATGGGAAGTAAATGGGGACATTGTTAGAATATGAGCCGATGGCCTTAAGATGCCAAAATGCGTTCAGATATCGTCGAGGGTAGTCTAGGAGCCTCGAGTTGCAGCCACGAGGTGTCTATTCTGATGGAAACTCGATGGTAATTAAAGAACAGGGCATTGCTCCCTCCCGTGTTTTCGTAGTCATGTAACACCCCTTTGCGAACCCTTCGTGGGAACCAGCATAGGCGTCCTTGTTGACGTGGCATAATATGCAAGTTTGCCATCTGCTGCCAAGCCAGCCCCTTCCATGGAAGACCTTACTTGGGTGCTCAGGTATACACCTTGCAATTCGTGTACCAAGTCCGTGCAAGGTCAGCCAGCTTTAGCGGTGTCTCACCCCGCCCACCCCAAAGAGAACATATATATGCACATGTCTGGTTGGCATATCCTGAATTTGCAAGGAAAGCTCTGTCCCATATGATAGTCAGTCACAAGTCGACTTTCAAAGCTTTAGCCCCCACACTCACAAGAAGGATTACAACATGTCTGCGGTTAGAACCCGGTCGGATCGCCAGAAGAAGTATCTTCATGATGTTATCGCAGGAAAGCAGTCGGTCCAGAATGTGAATGACTTCAAGAGATTTGTCGAGGCAATTTTAGCCCAAATTGACCATTCCGTTGCTGTTGAACGTCTCATGGCCAGCCCCAGCGCGTTGACTGCCCTTCAGAAGGGACTGCGATTTAGCACAACGGCTGACTTCATTAACCAGTACACGGCAAAGTTATTACAATACTTGAGCGATCCGGGAATCAAGAACCTCTGCAACGGGCAATTTCTCGAGCGAATCCTCCTCATCTTCCTTGAGCCGCGTACCCTTTGGAATGCCTGGATGGAAGCGTTCGCATCCCGAACACTGGACGACAATGCAATTTACGCGTTGACATGGATGATGACGGAATTACTCTCTTTACCGAGCTCCTGCGGAGTGGATGTTATTGCAGACGCGCAGACGATGGTGAACGACGGGTCACTGCTTCGCTCTCCTTCTATCGAGCTGCGTGGACTCGGGCACAAGCTGAATCATTTTCTGCAAATGAAGTGTTCTGGGGGCATGATCGACTCGTCCGCGTTCACAGCGGGAGGCCGTCATGATAACGATTTTCCTGATTTCCGAAAGATTGCCATCCTTCCAACCTCCGATGAGTTTAGCTGTACGGGAAGACCATTCTTTCGTCGCGCCGAGGATATTGGGGAACTCCAAGGTCACCAGCGGGTAACGGCTTTCCTTGATAATCAATTTCGGCTTTTGAGAGAGGACATGCTTTCCGAACTACGGGAGGATGTCCAGATTGCAAACGGGAGGAAAAAGGGACGAAAATTGACGTTCCGCCTAAGACATCTTTCTGTTGCTCGGCTCTCCTGCGGCAGAGACAATGACATAAGACTTCATACATGCTGCCTGGGAGTGAGCTGTAAGTCTGGTCTCGAGAACATCAGCCAACTTTCAAAGGAGAAACGCGTATCGTATGTGAAGGAAAACCGAAATTTTGTGAAGCACCAAGCCTTCGGGTGCTTGACCCGGGGAGCCGAAATCGTGGCCTTCGCTACCATAGAAAGAGATGAAGATGCTCTTGTCGCTCAGCCACCGACAGTTATGCTCCGGATTGCTGGAGATGAAGCCTTTAAGAAAACGCTATTATATCTCAAGCTATACAGCGACGTACATTTCGTTCTTGTGGACACACCCATGTTCGCCTACGAGCCCATTTTGAAATGCCTTCAAGAGACGGTGGACCTTCCCTTGACGAAGGATTTATTCTTGCAACAGGAAGGGCAGTCCGTGAACGAATCAAAAATTGTTTCTCTGAATGTGGTCAATGCAATTAAGGAGCATGGCAATGGCGATATGCAAAGCGTTCTGGGAATTTCAAAGCCGGTGAGACTAGATACCTCACAGCTCGAGTCACTGCTTGCGGGGTTGACTCAGAGAGTCAGCCTTATACAAGGTCCTCCAGGTATGTAGGCGCGAAGGCTTCTTGTTCTACCCAGATTGAATAATGCTGTTGCTTACAGGCACTGGGAAATCATTCATCGGCGCCCTCCTGACGAAAGTCCTCCATGACCATACAAAGGAGAAGATTCTTGTCATGTGCTACACCAATCATGCTCTCGATCAGTTTTTGGAGGACCTTTTGGATGTCGGTATTGATCCTTCAGGCATCGTTAGGATCGGTTCAAAGTCAACAGCGCGGACACAGCCGCTCAGCTTGTTTGAACAGCGATCGTCTTATAAGAGGTCAAAAGAATCATGGAACATTCTAAACAGACTGAGAAGCGATGCGTATGCAGATAAGGAGGCACTGCATACCGCATTTACAGACTACCAAAACCTGGTTATCACTCCGCATATTGTCATGGACTATCTGGAATTTGAGGAACCGGAAATATACGATGCTCTTGTGGCGCCGGAGGATGAAGATGGCATGACGGTAGTTGGCAGTGGAGGCCATGCAATTGGAAAAGATTATCTATACGCGCGATGGGTCAAAGGCATGGATGCCGGGGTGTTCGCGGACCGCCTCCCTGAAGCCAGCCGCAGTGTTTGGGAAATGAGCAAGGAAGCGAGAAATGAGAAACACCGCGCCTGGGAACATGCAATACTGGACGAACAGATCACGACTGTGAAAACCCATGCCGCGCAGTTCAACAAATGCTGCAGTCGATTAGAGAGCCTTTTGGGCGAGAAGACGAGGGATATTCTACGATCCAAACGCATTATCGGCTGCACAACTACAGCCTCGGCTAAATATTCAAAGGTCATTCGCAACGTCTCTCCAGGAATCGTACTCCTTGAGGAAGCAGGCGAAATCCTCGAATCACATGTTCTTGCGGCATTGGCCCCAGAGACAAGGCAGTTGGTGTTGATCGGGGATCATCTGCAGCTCCGGCCCAAGATAAACGAATACGCATTGAGTATCGAGAAAGGCGATGGGTACAATCTTAACGTTTCACTTTTTGAAAGGCTGATCCATGTCGGGTATCCGCATACAACTTTACTAAAACAGCACCGAATGTGTCCGGAAATCTCAACGCTTGTTCGACGTCTCACCTATCCCAACCTGGAAGACGA